CCCCCCCCCCGCCTCCCCAGGAGAGCCCCTCACAAGTGCAGGGACACAAGGAAAGGAGCCCATTTGCAATGGCAGCACTGAAGGAGAAGCGGCCCAAAGCTGAGCGCCCTGGGGAGGGTGGCCTCAGAGCGGCCTCCACCATGAGGCAGATCTGTCCTTCAACCTCCTGCCTTGGGTCTCAAGGCACAAGGAGAGATGTCCTACCATGGTCAGGTGCCACCACCGAACGAGGCGCTGCTCCCTCAAGACCCTGCAGGGCACACCTCCCGACAGCCACAAGGCATTTGTGCCACTCACCCGTTTTGAAAATCGTTATTAGACAAGCATTGCCATATTACAAGACACCCAGACTGACTCCCTCCTGCATGGTAGGCCTTGGGCATGAACAAGCAGGGGTGAAACCTGTCATTTCAAGTGTACAGTGTGCTGGCAAATATTCATGAGCTGCCTCCTAAGTTTAAAATACCCATTAGTAAAACCAGATTGGAAGGAACAACACCCTGCAGGTGGCAAGATGGAAATAGGATGATGCTAAAATAATGCTAGAAGAAAGAGGAAAACTGAAGGACAAGCAAACTGCACTTGCTTGCGTCTCAGGCAGGGAATAGATGCTATTGCTGGACACTTTTCCATTCTCTCATCACTTCTTTCCTTGTTGCAGTTATTTTATGCCCATGCTCAGCTCAGGTAGGTTCAACCCTGCCCAGCCATCAAAACGGTATCTGTCACCTAAGACTCAAATCTTCCTGAGGGTGGATGGACAGAAAAAGTGTCCTTATAGCTCTTAGAAAGATGCCCTATTTGCTTATTTAGTTCTTCAACTTTTCAAAATATATCTATAAACATCTATATTTTCTCAGTCTTCACTAGCTATCGCATACCAAGATGGACTTTTTCATAGTTCAGGGAAATCCACTACTGAATAATTATTTTCCAGTGCTGTGCTTGATGGGGATAGACATAGATGACTGTGTGGGCCTGTTTAGCCAGCTGCTGGTATAAGTAGGTGTAACAAGTCACAGGTAATTGTTTACACCTAGTGTTTACTGTAAATTGCTGTCACTTCCTCTGGATGTTTACATGTTTTATAGCAATACTCCAGTGGGTTGTTTTCTAGTAAAGACATACAGCGTTGATGATGACCCTTTCTTCAGTGGTTTGCCTGTCCCACTCCCATTGCATGATTCATTTAGGAAATGCTGGACTCCGTGGTGTAAGAGATGGCTTATTTTACCAATTTCCTGTTCACTTCCATAGACAGAAGCATTGGGTGCTGTAGGAAAAAGTTAATACCTATACGTATTCCTTGTAAGTTCACCTCAAGGGTCACTGAACTTTGTGGCTATTTCAGCTTTAGACATCATTTATTTCCGATGTAGGCACTAGGTACGGCAAGATAAATTGGATGAACAGGCATTTGGCAGTAATAATAAACACAGTCAATAAATAACAGCAGCAGTATTTTGCTCTGTTGGAATTTTCATTCAAGACCCAAAGTTCTTTACAAAATATTCATAGGCAAAACGTCTGTATCCCTGCAAAGTGGGGAAGTATTATTACTTTCTCATCTATTTTCTAATCAGGGGCACAGAAACACAAAGATGAAATTACCTTTCCCCATGGAGAGCTGGATAGGAGGGAGTGAGGCTCGTGCCAGTTCAAAAGTCTGCATTGCTATTAACTTTTTTAATCCTACCTTGTTGTTCTTTGAGGGTTTCCTAAACTAGCAGTAGCACAAGGATTATTCTTGCAAAGATACAAAGAGTGTGCCTGAGAAGAGATTTTAACTAGACCTGTTCCGGGAATTTTTTCTTGAATGTCTTACATTATTGTTGCCTAATCTTTGCATTTTTTCCAGTATGGGCTCAGCCTAGTCTCTGACTGGGCTCCTGCCCAGTAGTGGGAGAGAAATACTTTGCAACTGGCCTTCCTTACCTCACTTAATGGGAAAAAGAGAAATAAGTCCTCTCCAGACTTATCTGCCCTTTAGAGACCATAGTCCTCTCAGTCTAACCAGGATTCCACAAGGATCTAATTTTACATTTTTAATTAAAGGCAAGGATATCTCATTGTTACAGAATGAGCTTGATGCATTTGCTCAGGGCCTTTTCTAATGGTGCTTCTAGCATACCATGAACCCTAGGAAGTGGTCCCTAATCTTTCTTAGGATTGACCTGCATTAAAACTAAAGTAAAACTTCTTTTATTTCCTTAGCGCCTTTCATTTCATAAAACCCCCAAAACATTAAAAACACTCTACACATGCAGAATTTCTGCAAAGTAACAACCCTTTTGGTAGAGGCTAGCAACCAGCCAGTCCACAGCATATTGTACAACAGTGGGAGCATGGGCAACTGGTGCCTTCTGAGTTTGAGGGGGCATCCACGGAAGCTGGCGGCAGCGGCAGGGGTGGCCCTGTCAGGCAGGGCATGTGCCCCCTGCCAGTCACCTATGAGGTAGGAAAGAAAGATATGTTTGTGGTCAAGTACATTGTGGGAGAGGGAATGCCATTCTCAGGTGTTTTCTATGTTTTCCATCTGTAAAATGGGGATTTATATAAATTCCTTTCCTTGACACTCTCTTGTTTGGTTGCAGTACAAGCTCTTTGGGACAGTGATTGTCTTTTACTAAATGTCTGCACATCTCATAGCACGTTGGGTCTCAAATTCTGCTAAGTCTTGGCTAAACAGTAGGCACACTATATACTAGCTACAATTCCTACTATAAGCACAGATAATTAACAGTAACAATAATGGTGCATCATGTCCATTCAAAACAGGTAGGATCTTTGTTTTTAAAGTTTTGTCTCAAAGGATAAACTACTTATACCTCACATATTGTCCTTGAAGAATGAATAGCTGACTTAATGCTGTTGACATTTCAGCCAGTAGACCAATGGGCTAGGTGTTTCAAATCAGACAATATTATCCGTCTACAAATATGTTAAAATAACCCTACATGTTGTATTTTATGCTACTCCACAATCCTTTCAGGATGCAGTTTTAATCCTAATTTGTGCATTCATTTACAGTGATAACACATAAATGAGTCTTTTGCATGGGCAGTAGCCTGCAATTAGCAATATGTACTCAAAGAACAAGTTATGCCATTTTTTAATAGACTACAGGATATAGGCCATCATTATTCATGAATCCTGTAATAACCTATATTCAGTGACGGAGAAATCACAGAATATTATTTTGTCAGAATTTATTTTCTTTTAATGATGTAAACTCCACCTCTTGGCAGTTCTAGACAATTTGTTTACAAACAGCCTGCCCCAGAATCAAACAACTGCAACTACAAATATTTGTGTTTACATTTTAGTTTGTGAAGAAGTTTTGAAATGGTTTTGGAGTAGTTGCCTTGGTTTTTATAAATTCCTCTTATATACTTGGTTTTCTTTTTATTTGCAGAACATTTTGCATTTTAAACATTTAGGACAGTTTGTCAAAGAGGGAAAATGATCCCCAAATCAGTAAACAGTACTGGTGGATAACCATCATATCCATACAAAAGCTCAATTTGGAATCACCCCAACTAAGACTGGGCCTCCTGTCTTTCTTCCTTGGCCTCTTACTGCTATAGATTTGTTGATATGTTAATATAAACAGCTTTGAGTTGTTAACAGTTTTTCTGAGTAATTTGGCTATGCTGTGTTAAAGCTGAGATGCATTTTTTAAACAGTCATCATATACTGTATTTCCTTTATAAGTATTTTCCTTTACATGGCTAATAGTAACAGTGGTGGCTTTTTAAATTGCCTTGTAAGCGTGCAATTCGGCTTAATATGATTACTTGCAAGCCAGCTTCAGAAGGATAAATGCAACTTTATAATAATGCAGCAGTAACCAACCAAGTTGGAGTTTACTTTAAATACCCTCTGAATTCCAAAAAGCCCATCATTTAATATTTTTATCCCATTTCACCTAATAGTAGATTAATGCACAGTAAATTTAGGCTAAGTGGTGTGTCGCAATACTACTGACAATCCTTTCTGCCTCTCCTTTGTCTGTATGTTGCCCATTTAGAGCCCAACCCTACAGGTCTCTTAATTGCACGTACAGTCCAATTTAAATCAGTGGGAACACTCAGAGATGTAAGGACCCAAAGACAGCAAACATCTTAGGCCAACAACCTGTTTGATGGTGCTGCACAGCTCTCGGCGCCCATGGGGCATATCTGTGAAGACCCCCACCCACCCACAGAGAGGCATCAGAAAGGAAACTAAGTGAGTTGTATTTTATTAGATTTATATGCCACAGTTCTCCAAAAAAAGGCTGAGTGTCTTATAATAAAAGACAAAATAACTTATTATACTGTTAAAATATTCAAAAACAATAGTAAAAGAAAACAAACTCTGTTGAAAACAGTCTAAAATCCAGAAAAACAGCACCTCTCCCCCTCCCCACTACCCTACTCACTCCTACTCCAGTGCCTCTGACTTATGTTGCAGGATTGGGACTTGTCAAGAATTTAGCACACGCTTGGGAACAACAGAAGTTGCAGTAATAGATTGTGCATTTTAACAGAAAAAAATTGCATCTCTGTGTTTTTCTGCTAAGCCAGAAAAACCATGACTAAGTCTCAATTTTAATCTGTTGAATGGTAAGTAACAATTATGGTCACATCACATCCAAATTTTGCGTTCCTTTTCCCCCCCCCATTTAATGTTCTGACAAGAAAAGAGTGGTTCCTTTATTGCTACTTGCATGTAAAGTCTTTGGGGTAAGTCTTTGAGGGTATGCTGACCACAGCAGACAGGGGCTGCACGGGCGGCATGGGTGAGGAGAAAGGAAGTCTTATCTGCCAGGGCTGCTGTTTGGGGTCAGCAGTGTCAGCTCTGATGGCAGCCCCATGGCCAGGTTTCTTGGGACCAGATCCTGGTGCCTCATTCCCTCATCTTCCCTCACAATGTGTACATTTTGGGAATGGGGCTGTGTCTGTTCTGGCGAAAGTTCCTGGGGGGGCGGGGGAGAACCATTCTGCTTGCCCCACTTTGATATGGAGCTGTGCGGCTCAGCCCTTCTGGCCAGGCAGAGGTAGTGAAGGGCTTCCTCTGTGGCAGCAAAGATTTCCAGCAGGGGTGGATGCTGGTGCTCCCTTGTAGTTGGCAGCTGGGGCAGGTGCCCTGCTCACCCTGCCCTAGTTACACTACTGCAGTTATTATTCAAAACTTTCTCAAATAACAGGAAGTCTTGCCATGGAATGGCCCACTCGATTAAAGTCTATTGTATTTATAGGTGTAGAAGGATTACATTTTAATCAGTAAATATTTCTGGGTCTATAGAAAACTAATAATAAAACCCTTTTTATTTTACTGTATGATATGTAACCTGGGCTGAGATCCCCCTCATCTGTGTGTATCCATGTGCAATGTTACCCTTGTTATGTTAGCATAACATGCCTCAGTTCTGAATAGAGTTGCCTTAGGCTGGGAAATTGTCCAGCTATTCTACTGTGGTCCATCCACACACCTTTCTAAGGTTAGAATTACCATGGCCCTGAATCAAAACCCTGTATCTAAACAGCCTTCAATTCAGGGGTGCTGGAAATCTAGATTCAGTGTAGACTGCTGCTGTTTGAGCACATCTCTGTTCTGAACAAATACACTTATATAATTTTTCACAAAACATTTACAACAGCAAAAATATTATAGGAGCCAAGTAGGATGCTCAATGAGAATGATGCATTAATCATTAACACTTTGCTTGCGGAATATTTAGCACTATTTCTTGGTAGTTGAAATGTTAAACTGTGTTTCTTATATGAAGAAGATTCATCCATACCTGCACTTCATGGCTCTTTTCCCCTCTGCATAAATAACTCAAAAGAAAACTGGCATTGGAGGAGATTTACACATCTAAAATTGGACATACACAATAAGACTCTCTCTGACTGACCCAGCAGATGCAGAGAGCATTTCTGTAACACAGACATTTACTGTCGCAGCAGATGCTGGAAAGTTGTCAATGACACAGAGGCTACTGTCCCTACAAATCTGTGTTTTTTGGGAGAATTTTCGTACCATAGACACTACTGTCCCTACAGAACTGCCTCTGCTGGGAAAATTATTGTTCCACATCCTTCTCTATCCCAGATGTGTGAGACTGCAAGAACGACAGGCATTTCTGTCAACGCATATCTGCATCTGCAGGGAATTAAATTGCCACTAACACTGCTATCCCCAGCGATCATTGAGTACATCAAATACGGAAAGGAAGGAAGCCAAACGAACCACAGAAACAATAATGTAGAAAACCTAGAACCTGATCATATAACATGCCTGCATACCGAATGTTTTTCAAGATGATCCAGGAAAAAAGAATGGCATGCATTTTCTTTTGTGTGAATTTTTTCAAAATAAAACTTTTTTTCCTGAAAAATATTGAAAGAACAAATAACTGAGCCCCCTTTTTGTGCACTAGATCCAATAAGGCAGCAGAAATACAAGCTGCCCATCACTACTGTATTAATAGCCTTAGCACCCTGTAAGAAACAAGTCTTATTTTAGCTTATTTACAGCTTACTTGTGAACAGCTTCCATTTGTGCTAGGAGTGGGGTGTATAATGTGGACCATAATGTTTAGGCCCAGACACCCAAACACATGCACTTAAGGTACTCTCACGGCTTGGGGTCAGAAATACACAATGGGCACCTCTACGCGAGATGTTACGGTGCAATAGCAATGAGCTGCTACCATGCAGTAGCCTTGCCGGGTACTAACCATGCGGCAACAGTAGTAATGAACAATTGTGCAGTAGCTCGTTGCTACTGTGCAGTTGTGTGAGGGAGAAGACGTGCAGTGGTGGTACTGCGCAGTAGTACCGGCAGTTACTGTACAGTCTGTAGCACATGTAGACTGTGCAGTAACAAGTACACAGTCTGCTGCACATTAGACATGGCCATTATGTCTGAATCATTCTGACTTGCATGCTCAAGGAGTAGGTGTACCCCAAAGCTTCAAATTTGGGCTTTATTGTAATTATGAAGTTCAGATGAATTTAATTCCTTATTCTAGCAAGTGAAACATGGCAGTAATAAAGAGAAATTATTCCTTAATCCTTTTAGTATGGCCCTTGGAATATGGATTGTATCCCTCCTTCCTTATTAGGGGATCTTCTGGTACAGCCAGAGGCAGCAGTGTTGCTAAGAGTTTTAGTACCTGTGCATTGTCAGGGAGCTAGAGAGAGCTACACAACCGGTATGGAACCCTAGAGCCTTGGCATAGTGGGTGGGGGTTTCATAGATATTTGAGCTGGAAGGGACCTCACAAAATCATTGGGTCCAGCCCCCTGCCCAAGGGGCAGGAAGTCAGCAGGGGTCAAATGATCCCAGGAAGATAGGCGTCCAAGTGTGTCTGAAAGTATCCAGAGTAGGTACTTGCAAGTAGTTTACCTGAGACCTAGTTGTTTTGGTGGGTAGAATCCCTTGTTCGTTCTGCAGGAGACCAGCAATACAAAACCTATTTGAAATATTGTGAAGGAAACCTTAGAATTCTCGCTTGGGAGGGATATGGCCCTCAGCACAGAGTACTTTACTTTTTCGGAAGCATCAGGAAGTGTCCTCTGCCAGAGGCAGCATACCAGATTTGACAGAGCAGTGGCCTGATACAGCACAGCAAATCTTCTAGTCCTTTGGAGCCGATTGTGGGAAAGCATTAAGAGTTTGGTTACTCTGCCAAACCAAGCAAAAAATCTTAAAACTCATCTATTTACCAGTTCTCACTATTACCCGCGCTATCTTTTTCAGATGCAATGACATAATTGGTTAGTGGTAGCAGTGTCATGTGTGATTCACTCCACTTTACTGGAAATCAGATAATCACATACTGCATTTAAGGAGCATTTGTTTATTTAGTCATATCATCTCAATGTGTGCTCATCCTACATTGTTTGTATACATGCTTTTTCATTTAAAATTTTGAAAATGCTACTCTTCATCAGAGTTCATTCAGAGGACAAGTTCATCAATAGTAAATACACTTTAATTGTCTGTTTCTGATATCCACTAAACCCAGCACCATACCTAGACTCCTGGCAGCCCCGGGCGAACTTTTAGTATCGGGACCCCCTTCACCAAAGATAATGATAATAAATAATAAAATACTTACCATTTTCAGGCCCCCTTTCCATCTGGGCCCCGGGCAGCCGCCAGGTTCGCCCATGCCTGTGTCCAGCCCTGACTAAACCCTTAACATTTCTTTCCTTCTGTCCCCCCAAAATAAATGGTCTATATAAGGTTGTAATACCTTCTTTCTTACAGCCTATGCGGGTGCTGGTTTAGAACTGAGGTCCACCGAAGCTGTGAGATTGGAAGAGGTGTCTAGGCAGGTTTCTATCACACATTCATTCGAGCCTTATGGAATTAAAGGGAAGTGAATTTCACCCAGAAAGAAAAATACTTTTTTTCCTGCTTTCTTTGGAGTACCCTTATAAAACCTGGCCAGGTATTTCCTGAACAGATCATAACGCTACATTGACTGTGATGATTAATATTCATCAAAGCATGAGTGATGAACCAGCATATTCAGGAGAAGAAAGTAAATGCTAAGAGATGTCAACTCTGCATTCTTTCACAGGTTATGAAATACTGAATAAAAATATTAGTGTTTTTAAATGGCATTTCATAGTGACAGTAAATGAAGCAGAGTAAGTTCTGAATCAGTTTCCAAAATTTAGGTGAGGAATTGTAGGTTTTGATTTATGATGGTGGGTAGGTTTTCCTACTATTTATGAAATAAGTGTTACTATAGCAGTCGGGGTGTGGTAAAATCTGACACAATTCACTCTGTTGGCATGCAGACTATGTTCAGTATAAATTCCTAAGCCAAGAAGTTGCACTACCCTCTAAAGACACAGTTCCACTTTCTTTCATCTTTAGATGAAGAAAATATTGAAAAAAAATGTAAACAACATACATTCTTATGAAAAAATAGCTATGTAAACCATTCCCTTTTTAACATTAATATTGCTTGGGTATTCTTGGAACTATTTATTACCATAGCAAACTATGAATATTGACCTTTTCTAATGTGGGATTCCATCTTCTATCCTACCCCTGCAATCATATTTACCTCATGCTGGTATGAGGAGAGAAGTTAGTTCTTTTTGGTTTGATATTTTCCTCTGTATGTGATTAGAGACAACGGAAAATAGCAAAAATAAAATAGGGGTAGGGGAAGACAGGGAATAAACAAAGGCACTAGGTTGTTAAAGATTGTTTAGAAAAAAGAGAGAGTTTGGCTATTCACTTTCATTGGCATCAGTTGTCCCTATGGATCTTAGTTATATTTTTGTTATAGTTAAAAGTGTTTAAGCTTGCTGGAAGCGTCAGATGATTTAAGTAGATCTCCAGTTTTAATTTCTCTTCTTGGTAACATGGAACAGCTGCCATCCAGATTTGTGCAACACAGCAAAATCAAAATAAGTCGTTAAAGGGCAGTCACTGGGAAGTGACTCTGAAGACATCATTGGATTCTTCCATTTATTTTGCCTCAGTAGCTCCAGGTCAGATTTGTTCAGTTTGAGCCTGGGTTTGGGCCTGGCATGTGATGCATGGGTGGAAGCCCGTCACACCCCTGTGAGCCCAGGACCCACCAGTAACC